TGGCTGCCTTCCATTTCTCACTATCCGGGCAAGAGAGCGCCTCTGTTCCATCCTTTCGATCGCTTTGCTCTCTGAGAAATCTTCTTCCTTTCAGCTGGATATCAAAGTCGATATCCTTTTGTTCGCGGCTCGTACCCTATAAATACACCACCTGGTTTTATCGTCGATGAATGTTACGAAGTATCTGGAACTTCCGTGCGACTTGACCCGCATTGGTCCACAAACGTCGGAGTGTACTAACTCTAGTAGATCACTAGATTTTGAGTCCGACTTCATGAATGGTTATTTTGATTGCTTCCCCTGAATGCATATTTCACAGTTTTTCATGTTCTCGTTAAGATTCAATTCGTTTATGTGTTCCAATACTTCATGCCATTTCTGTAGATCACTGTCCTTGCTTACGGTACTCATTGCGTTGCATTGGATTAACGAGATGCTGTTGCGAGCTTTTTGCCGGTCTTTGGGTGAGATATGACGGCACCGTCGTGACGAAAAGTGACTTCAAAACCGTGATCTGTGATTTTTGACACTGACATCCAATTTGATCGAAGTTGTGGTACGTGAAGAGTTTCTAATAGGCTTGCCGTCATAATTTATGATTCTAGGAGTACTTTTCCACTGCCGACAACTGGAGCGGATTCATCGTTTGCTAATTTTAAGTTTAGCGATTCACTCTTCAGATTTTCGAATTTCTTCTTTTGTTCCTTTTACGCTCCTTATTTACGCTCCCGCTCCCTTGCTCTCTTTGCTTTGAAAGTTCTAAGCGTGCAGTTACTGCGCTCTTGCGGTACTTATAACTGCTCGGTTATAAATTTCAATTTCGCTTTCTTGGTACAGTGGTCCCAATAAATAAAATGAATAACAAAAATTTAGTCTGCTTCTGCAAAAAATGCAGCCTCGTAATCATGGCTGACCAGTCTAATATGACTTGCTGGCTGTGTGAAAATATGGTGCACACCAAGTGCGCCGGTTTTACTGGCCGGACAAGAGATGACCTTTCAAAGGGGCCCAATTTGGAGTTTTGTTGTGATGCTTGTGTCGAGGTTGCGAACGAGATGAGTTGCTAGAGATAGTTTTTGCCGAGCTGATGATCTCCTCTCTGCGCTGGATTCCCAGTTTAATAGTCGTAAGCTATTAGAAGAGTCCCCTAAGCGCAAAAAGGCCGCTGGTGGTAAGGAGCAAAAGGGGAACACCCCGCAACCGAAATCAAAAGAACAACAGAGCATTCCGGCGGATCAGCAGCTGATTTCAGCAAACCCTCAAATGTTGCTAAGATCAGCAGCTAAAAAAGATTCGGTATCCGAACAATCCGTTACAGAATGCATGCAACCACGGACTTCTAAGAATTCCGATTTGTCCGAAGTGGTTTCACAATTAGTGGATCCACCTATTTCTCAGAATGTAGCATCACCACCACAAGGGACTACTGAGTCCGGACAACCGGCTCAAGTTGGTTTTGCAGAAACAATGTCTGCTCCACCAAAATCCCTTTCAGTGGTTCCACTAAAGAAACAAATTTTCGTTTCTCGGCTTTCCCCTGATCAAACATCTTCTGATATATTGTCTTATATACAAGACAAAACTAAAGCCGATTGTAATAGTGTAAAGGTGGAAAAGTTTAAGTTTTCTTATGCTAGACACATTTCATCTTTCAAGATAACTGTCCCTAACGAGCTTTTTGAAGCCATATGCTCTGGCGACTTTTGGCCAGATAATATGGTTGTGAAAGAGTTCGAGGCTAAGATAAAGAAGAAGGGGCCCGTGGGAGTAAAACTTCCTAGTCGAGGCCAAACCAGTGTACCAATTTCAAAAAACTTACTTCTAACCTCCTTCTTTCCTATCAGAATGCAAGAGGTTTGCGTAGCAAACTCACTAAATTGTATTCCGATAGCCTTTCCTTTGCATCTCATATTATTGTGTTCACAGAAACCTGGTTAAAGCCGGAGATCTTCAGCACCGAAGTTTTTCCAGGTAAGTACTCAATATATAGGTATGACCGTCCCTCTAGACGGGGAGGTGGAGTCTTAATTGGAGTTGATTCAAACTTCCCGTCTGAGGAGTTATTTTTTGATGAATTCAATACCATTGAATTTATTTGTGTAAAGTTATCGCTTCCTGGTAACTTTATCTACATAACTTGTTCATATTTTCCGCCGTTGTCTGAACTTCTTGATTATTTAAATCACCTATCCGTTATTAAGTCCGTTGCAAATAAGCTTTCCGATAGGGATCAGTTGATAGTTCTAGGTGATTTTAATATACCACTGAGGATGGATCGAATGTCTTACTACCTATAGCACAGCATGATTTTATTGATGGCCTGCTTGACATATCCCTATGTCACCATGTTCCAAACTCATTAGGTCGCCTACTTGATTTGTGTTTTGTATCAAATCCTGAAGGTGGGTTTCTGTCCAGAGTAGCACCACTCACGCAACCTGAAGATCCATATCACCCAACAATCGAACTTTCATTTGATACGGGTAGAGTTATAGAAGAAAAATCAGAAAAATCCAAACGAATACATTGTTTTCGCAAGGCAGACTTTCTGAGGCTAAATAATTTTATTTCTGGCTTTAATTGGTCTGATCCTTACTTATGCATTAATATGTCCGATGCAGTTAATGTTTTTTACACTGCAATAAACTTTAATTCCTGTGTTCCGTGGTACTAACCGTCAACTTCCAATAAATCACCTTGGTTTAGCAAAGAGTTGACACACTTAAGAAATGTAAAGTCCAGACTTTTTAGGAAATATAAAAATACCGATTCTCAATCTGTTTTTACTAGATATTTAAGTGCTCGGTCAAGATTTACCGTGCTTAATGCTCAGTGTTATAATAGTTACTTAAACCGTTGTAAGGTCCAGTTCTCTCATGACCCGAAACAGTTTTATAATTTTGTTAACACCAAGCGTAAATCTAATTCTTTTCCTTCCTCGCTGTCGTTCGAAAACGAATGACGGCAACCGCAGATCAGGCAATAGCCGATTTATTTGCCCAATTTTTTCAAACGACTTACTCTACTTTAGATTATTCATCATAGCCTTATTCTTACACCATGTCCAAGTCAAACCTCATATTCTGTCCCACTCTAACAGAAAGCTCTCTTCTTTTGGATCTTCTTCGTATTAAGCCTGTTTATTCGTCAGGGCCCGATGGTATTACTGGGTGCGTGCTTAGGTATTGCGCTAAGGCCCTGTGCAAACCTCTTCACAAGTTGTTTACCTTATCTCTAGAAACCTCCCAATTCCCAAATATTTGGAAGGAATCATTTGTTATTCCTCTTTTCAAAAAAGGTAACAAGTTAGAAGCCAGTAACTACAGAGGTATTTCTAAGTTGTCAGCTATTCCTAAGCTTTTTGAAAAAATTATTACTCCTCATTTTCAGCACCTTTGCAGATCAATCATTTCTCCGTGTCAACACGGATTTATTAAACGTAGATCCACAATCACAAACCTTCTAGAGCTCACTTCATTTGTGATAAAAGGCTTCAATAGTAGTTTTCAAACAGACGTCATTTACACTGACTTTAGTAAAGCATTTGACTCTGTAAATCACTTACTTCTCATTCAAAAACTTGACCTTTTAGGTTTTCCAGTTGATCTGCTTAAATGGATTTCAAGTTATCTAAATGCCAGGTCACAAAGGGTCCTTTTTAAAAATTCAATTTCTGAAATTCTCCGTGTTACCTCCGGTGGCCCACAAGGGAGCCATCTAGGTCCGTTACTTTTTACTTTATTTATTAACGATCTTCCATCAATTATAAGTCATTCTCGCGTACTTATGTACGCAGATGATGTTAAGTTGTGCCTGCAGTATAAGGACATTTCCTGCCATTTAGACTTACAATCCGATCTAGATAATTTTCAAAACTGGTGCCGAGATAATTTACTAAATTTAAACGGTTCCAAGTGCAAGCTGATGACTTTTTATCGGGCCAATCCGATATACGCGACTTACACGTTAAGTGGCAGTCCTTTGGATAGAATAACTCTTGTAAACTATCTTGGCGTTCTCTTGGACCCTAAACTAAAATTTTCTAATCACATTTCGTCCATGGTTAATAAAGCCAGAGGAGTGCTTGGATTTATTAAAAGGTGGTCAAAAGAATTCGATGATCCTTATTTGACTAAAACTTTATTTATTTCGCTAGTCCGTCCGATTCTGGAGTATGGGTCTCCCGTCTGAAGTCCACAATACGGAATACATATTGGTCGTATTGAATCTGTACAAAAAAACATTCTTCTTTTTGCTTTACGGCGCCTAAACTGGGATGCAAATCTTATCTTACCTTCTTATTCTAGTAGACTTCTTTTGATTAATTTACCATCCCTAGCCAACCGTAGAACGATGCTTGGTACTATCTTTATTTATAACCTTATACATGATGATATTGACTGCCCCGACTTGTTAGGTCGGCTAAACTCTTCTGTGCCAAGTAGATTAACTAAAAATTATATTCCCCTAACTTTAAATCATTGTAGATCTAACTATGCCTTGCATGAGCCTTTCAGAGTATTATGTTCTGACTATAATAGACTTTTTCCTGTAATATCAAATCTTGACTCTCTGCCGCTCCTAAAACGATTAATACTTGCTTCATTGGCACAAGATTACAACTATTACTTTTTTCCCCGGACCTTTACTTTTATTTTCCTATCTCGCGTCTATCTTATCGCGAATCGTGCCGTACGATACAAGTCTGCGCCCCTCGGTCGGTTGGGCGGGTAAGTGGGCCGTGGGACTCCGGACGAACAAAAAAAAAAACAAATTGATTTATTTTAATGACTACTTTTTTAGGTGTATGATTTATAGGGTCTAAATTCCTGCGTTGCGTAGTTTGACTTTAATTTTAATAACTCTGCGTGGGTATAACATAAAGAAGAAAAACAGATAGATGTTCACAGATAGATTGATGTCTTAAGACTAAGTAAAGATTTAAAAAACAATCGATAACATTATTATCGAACATTTTTGGCTTAAATGTTTAAACTTACCTTTCAGATATGGTCAACGAAAACAACTTGTAAAGATCTTGATCTGTGTCGTTTAGTTTTATTCCCTTCGTATCTTCCTCATCAAACGATCCGATATCAAAGGCATCAGCTGCATTCACTTCTCCTCTTGGGGGTACCAAAGGCGGAATATATTTTTGAATGTAAACTTGGTGCCAATCGATTCCACAAAAAAAATTATGCATTTTTACTTCGTCAGCACTAAAAAATATTAATGGTTAAATTTACTAAAATGCAGTTTGCTGGAAAATTGTTAAAACATACATGTTGGCACTGATTTAATTGACTTTTGTTTTTTGACCCTAAAAATCATATTATTTTGTTTGCTTTATTTCAAATTACAACTATTTAAAAATATTCTCACAATGTTTTGTAACCAAATTCTTAATAATTCGAAGTATTCTTTGAGAGAACTCGCCACCGGCCCTGCCGACTGAAAACTTACAGGTAGGTTTCTTGTCCCTTTAGCCTAGTACTCAGATCGACGAAAACTGTACGCCAGTCATGAGAGAGAGCGAGAGGCAATCAGCTGGCGTTCACTTTTCGTCAGGCTTTTTTCACCTCGGTACTCAGATCGACGAAAAAATTGGGGAAATGAAATTTGGGTGAACCCTAGCGAAGAGTTTAATCTTTTGGCGTGCGCTTCTCACTGAACATTTTAAAAAATGGAGGGAATTATTATTTTTTTTTTAGTTTCATTGTACAGCGGCAAACTTGTCTTGCCAAGGTTGTTGATAATATCTTTTAAAGGCTCTTTCCCGCAAATACGATATTTGAATTTTAAATGCTTGTCAACAAACCCAGCTGATTGTCAGTACGACCGTAGCACGCTTAATTCTGATAAACTCTCGAAATTTTGGCCACACTTTAAAGATTAAAGTTTTTACGCTAGCATACTCGTTTGTCGATCTGAGTACTAGGCTTTTATAACGATTTCTATTAGTTTGTGTTCAAGACTGGGAATATTGTACAGAACGTATACAAAAATTGTCCCAATATTTTATTATTGAATTAGAATGTTTTTTTTTGTTTTGTTAAAATTAATTCAACAATGTTTAAAACAATTTTTCAAAATACAATTATTTTATTAAGAAGAACATACAATTGCCTATTAACAGAGCTTTGGTGTACACAAACTAATATAGTAAATTGAAAAATAAAATGGGGGAGAAATCACGCTTCAGTTGAAAGGTCCGCTCCATTCAAAATGGATCCGAAATATTTGCAGTTTGGATACGAAAATTAATTATGTTCTTAGGATGAGAAAGGGTTTAAACGGTAAGGAAATGGCACATTTGTCTAATTCTATTTGTTGTATTTAATTAGGGTTGTGTTCGGTATTTTGATATACCTCAGTAAAATTGATATATGTGCATCGAGTTTTTGTTGTTTTTTGTTTAACTTCTTCATGTTACATTTTTATATTATTTTTATTTATGTGTACAAAATGAATGAGCTTCAAATATATTTAATAAAGCCTTGTTTCATATTTAGAAAATAATTTAAAATTATTGTTCATAGAAAATTGATAAATGTGCAAAATTGACTTGATAAAAAACAAGAAAGGAAAGCTAACTTCGGGAGGAGCCGAAGTTGATATACCCTTGCAGAATATTATGTACATTATATTCTCCAAAATTATTCATATGATGCATTTTAAAACTCATAAAAAATCCCAACTTCCTAACTTTAAAAACACCAAAGTTATGGCATTTCCAATCGTTCAGTTATATGGCAGCTATAGCATATAGTCGGCCGATCCTTATGAAATTTGATAGGTCGGATTGATTGGCCAAAAATAAAACCCATAGAAAATCCCAACTTCCTAACTTAACAAACACCAAAGTTATGGCATTTCCGATCAATCAGTTATATGGCAGCTATAGGATATAGTCGGCCGATCCTTATGAAATTTGGTAGGTCGGATTGATTGGCCAAATATAACACCCATAGAAAATCCCAACTTCCTTACTTTACAAACACCAAAGTTATGGCATTTCCGATCGTTCAGTTATATGGCAGCTATAGGATATAGTCGGCCGATCCCGGCCGTTCCGACTTATATACTGCGTGCAAAGGAAAGAAGGGTGTGTGCAAAGTTTCAATTCGATAGCTTTAAAACTGACTAGTTTGCGTAGAAACAGACAGACGGACAGACGGACATGGCTATATCAACTCAGGAAGTGATCCTGATCAAGAATATATATACTTTATAGGGTCGGAGATGTCTCCTTCACTGCGTTGCACACTTTTGACCAAAATTATAATACCCTCTGCAAGGGTATAAAAAGTTGTATATACATTTATAATATAACTGATTTAATTTTTTATACCCGTTACTCGTAGAGTAAAAGGGTATATTGTATTCGTGCAAAAGTATGTAACAGCTAGCTAAGTATGTAAAGCTATAAAGTATATATATTCTTGATCAGGGTCACTAGCCGAGTCGATATAGCCATGTCCGTCTGTCCGTCTGTCCGTCTGTCTGTCCGTCTGTCTGTCCGTATGAACGCTGAGATCTCGGAAACTATAAAAGCTAGAAGATTGGCATTTTGCATGTAGATTTTAGGAGTTCCTACGCAGCGCAAGTTTGTTTCAAAAAGGTGCCACGCCCCCTTTAACGCCCACAATCGCTTATATACGATTTTAAAAATTTAAATATTTCGGAAAAGTAAAAATGCAGTTTTATTGTGTTTATCAATACCTATCGAAATGTTGAAGAAATTTTTCAAATCGGACCATTCGTTAAAAAGTTATGCGTGATCAAAGTTTCTATCTCCATCTCCCTCGCACTCCCTTTACCTGAGTAACGGGTATCTGATAGTCGGGGCACCCGACTATAGCGTTCTCTCTTGTTTTAGTATGATATAGTGTCTACCTTTTGTTGCTCCACTAATTGCAATCGTTTAGGCATTGAATTGACAGTTCTCAAGGAAAGGTTTATCAATGTTTGACCAATCCTAAACAATTGCCACCTTAAAAGGCCTTAAGGGTCTCAAATTGCCTTCCACCTCCGAAAACTTAACTGATAGGATGCCCCAAAGATCCTCAAACGGATTTAAGTCCGGACTCATAGCAGGCCACTGCATCAAGGGTATTTTTTTTATTCCAGAAACGTCTTTGAGTACCGTGCAACATGTATAGGAGCGTTATCCTGTTGAAACACAAAATCCTCGCAATGGAACTTTTCAGGAAATGACATAAGTTCACTTTCTAAGAGATTCGTATATATTATATTTCCGCATTCATGCGACCTGGTACAAAGCATACTGGCGATTTTCCAAAGAAGCTATAAGCCGCTATCCTAAAATTTATATTTTTCATAAAAGGCAAGTCGGGCCATTTTATGGCGTCGTAATAACTTAGGTTTTGGTACCTTAGCTTCATATCGGATATGTATGTAACTCCTTTCGACAAATTTGCTGCACCCTTTGCCGAGTTATTGGCAGCTTCAGTTCTGCTTTAATTTGGACGCAACTCATTTTATCAGTGGCCAAAGCTCGAACGTGGCGTTTAGCGCGCTCATCAAGAAAATTGGGAAATATTGAAAACTTTCTTCCAAAGTGGAGAGTCTTCAACCGAAACTGCAAGAAATTTCGAAAAAAATAAAGCGCCTTCCAGGCAGTTTATGGATAGTTTTGTGAACCGTGTGCGTGAGACTGGATCGTTGATGGATAAAACAACAGGTTGACGTGCTCGTCCAGTTCGGTCTGTCGAAAATATCGCTGCGGTGTCAATGACAATCCGTCGACGTCAACTCGGCAGCGTGCTCAAGAGTTCGACATTTCGCGCACTTCCCTGAGACGGATTTTAACCAAAGACCCCCGTCTAAGGCCATATAAATATTCAGTTGGTTCAGCCGCATGGCCATCCAATGCGTTTTCGGTTCGCGGAATGGGCTCAGAAGCGCTTGGTCGAAGATGACCATTTTTACCGAAAAATCGAAAAATTTTCCACTTCGGTGGTTATGTTAATAAGCAAAACTGTCGCATTTGGGGTTCAGAAAATCCACACGTCGTCTTGGAGAAGCCAATGCATCCACAACGAGTAAATGTTTGGTGCGGTATGTGTTCGGAGCCGCTATCGCGCCATGTTGGAAGACTTTTTCTTTCCCCTAATGGAAGAGGAAGACGTAGTACACATATGGTTCTAGCAGGACGGCGCTACGTGCCACACAGCCAACGTCACAATCGATCTTTTGCGCGGTACGTTCGAAAATCGCATAATCAGCCGGAACGGCGATGTCAACTGGCCGCCTCGCAGCTGCGATTTGACCCCGTTGGACTATTTTTTGTGGGGTGCCGTCAAGGATAAGTGTTACGCCAACCACCCAGAGACGATTGACCTAAAGCACAAGATTGAAGTCGCCATCAGGGCCATTGAGGGCCATATCATCGAAAATGTGTTTAATAATTGGATGGACAGAATTGGCTACCGTCAAGCCAGCCGAGGCAGCCATATGAACGAAGTGGTGTTTCATACATAAACCGCAATGTTGAGGCTATCCAATAAACAAAAAAATTTTGAAAAATATATACTCGTTTTTTTATGGCGATTTTAAAACGTAAATCTTTCGTGGGCCACTCTTTAGTATTTTGATGCCTGTTTAATGAAGTAGCAATAACACCCACTTTAACGTAACAATCAGCCATAGTTATACCCCTTACTCGTAGAGTAAAAGGGTATATTGTATTCGTGCAAAAGTATGTAACAGGTAGAAGGAAGCGTTTCCGACCCTATAAACTATATATATTCTTGTTCAGGATCACTAGCCGAGTCGATCTAGCCATGTCCGTCTGTCCGTCTGTCTGTCCGTCTGTCTGTCTGTCTGTCCGTTGTACCAATGCACTATGGGGAATTTGCCCGATTTTTTGGAATAAATTAATAACTCGCGAACTATGTAACATATTTCAGTGAAATTTTTTTTATAGTGTTCTACATACCTATACACACCTGTTGGAAAAGTGAAAATATACCCCACACCCCCCCCCCCACCCAATTTTTATATTTTTTATAACAAATTTAACTTAATTTTCAATTTCAATGTTGTACAAAAAATCATAGTCGTTTTCTTCTTCATAATTATCAACATCTAGAGACTCGTCACCAGGTTCATATTCGCATAATAACAATTAAATGACTTCTGGTGGAAGAGCAAGCAGCTTATGTTTTCGGACGCGCTTCTTCAAATTCATTGATGAAATGATGGGGTCTGAAGTATCCATGGCTCTCTGAAAAACATCTGTAAAGTTGGAGATTCGATTGTGGGATAAACTTGCTTGCTAACAAAAGTGAATTCGCCATCTTCTTTTTCTCGAAGACCCTTTTGCTTATGCAAAACTTCCAGCAGGGCTGCGTTTTTGATCCAGAGATTGGTTTCTAAAAAATGAAATTACGCGAAAAGTCGCACGAAGCGCACGATGAGACAATATGTTCTGAATTCGCAATTAATGACTCTACAACATGGATATAGACACTCACTGAACAAAGTTAAACATTTTTTTAAAACTCTATTGAAAGTTTAACTTTTTTTCCAAAACCCAAACGAAAACATCACCTGGTTCATTTACAAATTGTTAAAATTGGACGCACATATTAAGCAATATATAAGTATTTTTACACAGAACATACCTTGAGAATTGGTAATCTTCAAATTTGACTGTCTTACGTCATTTTGTTGCAGAGATAATGATTTGAATGTGAGCTTCAAAGTTAAGCAAAATGTAAACAAACCATGTGCGCTTGCAACAGCTGACTTTAACAGTTGGTATTTAAATACTAGACTTTTAAGATAACATTTGCGGTATGTTACCAAACAACTTGATGTTTTCTTAACACGTTAAAAAAAAAAAATAGAAAATCCGCATACTTTGAAAAAATACATTTTTTCCAAAAAATCGGGCAAATTCCCCATAGTGCAATGTTTTGGTGTAGATGGCGCAATACAATAGCGCCATCTAACGGATGACTTTGGAACAGCAGGCCAAGGTGCTAATTCGAGCGGCGAAAAACATACAAGAAGGCATATTTATATTAAGTTGTTTAGCTGAGTAACGGGTATCTAATAGTCGAGGCACTCGACTATAGCGTTCTCTTTGTTTTGATTTTAATTTGCTCTTCTTTACTCAATTCGGTTCCACGTGGCATTTTAATTGTTATCTACCTTTTATTTTACTTAAAGCTTGTCAAAGTAACGCAACATAATTTTTAATTCGGTTTTTTAGGTGATCACACAAATTTAGTCTTTGTTCCTTGACATTATTACCGTGTTACAATCAAAACGCAAATGAAGAACTTTGCACATTTATCAATTTTTTATGAAGCGCATCACATTGCGTTCTTCTTTATTCTAACGGTACTTCAGATTTGGATCTGATAAGAAATCAATGTATGAGAAAACATGAATACATATAAGTGACAAATTGTGTATACTCAAAATATAACTGTCGCTATTAGAACGACGGTAATATCAAAAACAAAATATGCACATATACCAATTTTACTGAGGTATATTGACCGTATTAAAATATACTCTTCAAAAACATGGGTGATACAGTATTTTAATATTTTAATGTGTGTGAAAAATTTGAATACATTTTCGCTTCAAAAGACAGACATTTCAACAAATATAATTTGTTTTTTAACAAAGTATTTATTTTTCTTACCCATTTCCCATGCAGCCAAGTCGTTTAGGTACGTCCCTTTGAAGTAGCATTTCCAATAAATTTCTTAGTTCCATAGAAAACGATTCTGGAAGTTCTACGTTCTGCAAAACAAATAATTTTCCAACTTTTAAATTTATAATACTTTAACACTAAGCTAGAGTTAGATAATGTTTGCTTTATTTTTAAGCTTTCAGAAAACAAAACAATTTTTGAAGGCGCAAACCCTTAGCACATTAATGTTGTATGCATACTTCCTCTGATTTTAACAGCTAAATAGCACACAGTCTCCTTTATTGATCAGGAATTGATGATACGTAAGAAGTAATAGGACTTTTGCATCTAGTGCATAAAATAGATGCCATAAGAGAGTTTGAAAAATGAATTTAAAATAAGAAGGAAGCTAACTTTATTTCTATTCATTTCCTAACTAAGGCAGCTATATGATATGGAAGCGTTTTTATAAATATTGATAAACTACTCCTCCTTAGAGTAATGATAAGTAACCTCTTATATACTCTTACTTCAAGGCACCAGTTCCCGCGGTAATCTTGTGTACAAAAAACCTTAAAAACCAAAATAATCAATTATTATGAGGTGGTATGGTTGTTAAATTTAATTAAATTTATTTTGGATTTTGAATAAAGTAAAATTGAAATCTATTTATTATTTCTTTGAGGATACAGTTAAAAATCATTTTCACAAAAATAATAAAACTTGAGAGTCGATCGCCACCATCCTGTGACAAACAGGATGTATGAATTACAGGGTAAACAGCCTCACGCTGCCTATAATAGTGCGATTAAGCTTCTTGGGGAGCCGAATCAAGGTGAAATTTATTATTTATTATAAACACTATCTCTTTTTATTCCCTTGCAGATGGTATTATAATTTCAGTCAAAAGTTTGCTACGCAGTAAAGGAAACATTTCCGACCCTATAAAGTATATGCCTATAGTAGCAAAATCAATGAAGCTGCTATGTCGATTTTGCGTTGTCCGTCCGTCCGTCCGTGTGACGTCTGTCCGTCCGTCCGTTGCTAGCACGTCCGTCCGTGTGACGTCTGTCCGTCCGTCCGTTCTTTGGGATTTGGTAATATTTAAATATTATGGAATTACGGTTTTAATTTAATTAAAATCGGACAACAATATCATATAGCTGCCATAGAAACGATGGCAAATTGCAGCGCAAAATCGACATAGTTTCATTGTTTTTAGTAATAACTGCAAGGGTATATAAACTTCGGCAAGCCGAAGTTTGTTTCTTGTTTCTAAGATACTCTCATTGCTCTCTGCTTTAGATAAGAACAATGATGTCTAGTTTTCGGATTATCAGTTGTTTCAGAAACAAAAAATTGTGACTCAATTTTAACAATCCAGATGTCTACACCTAATGGTGGCCCGGTTGATCGCGGTTTGATTCAATGGGATGTATTGAAATTTGGATTCGTCCAGTGGCAAAACCTTTGACACCGCTAAATAGAGTCGAATTGTCACCTAGGGTTTATCGTTAGTGGGAGTTTCTACAAACATTTGAATTCAAATTTGAATACTGGAATCCGGAGTGTCAAAAAAATAAGTCAGTACCAAGTAAAATTGAAGAGAAGCAAATTGACTTAACAGAAATATCGGAAAACTGGATACTGTTTTTTTTTTTTTATTAAAGCTTGTTTTGTATTTATTGGATCTTCTCTTTATGAGTCTAACAATAAGGTTTCAAATCTTAAAATAATACATTATCTAACATTTTTAATTTTAACTGAATAGAGACTACATGGTCCTAATAATTATAGCTGGATTGGAAGGTCGTTCGGGCGAAGACGAGAACTGCTGGAAACTCGCGTGAGGGCTCTCGCGAGATGATTTGGATGTACTGATAGCCTGTTGTAGTACTTTGTTATGATTTGTGCTATCTCTTCTCTAACGAGTGATATGTGAAGGTCCCTGTGAATGTTTACATTCCGAACGTACCACGGTGCCCCGGTGATGGTTCTGAGAATTTTTGATTGAGTTCTTTGCATTATATCCACACTGCTGTTACTGGCATTCCCCCACAACTGAGAGCCTTACATCCAGATTGGTTTCAAAACGGTGTTGTATAGAATTACCTTAAAGTCCAGGCTAAGGGGCGAGCGGCTTTTGATAAGCCAGTGGAGGCTGTTGGCTTAGAGCTTTAAATGTGTTCTTTTGGCTTCAATGTGGCTGCGCCAAGTAAGACGTCTATCGAGGTGTACGCCAAGATATGTTACTTCATTTGCTATCGGAACCTCTGTGTTGTTTAGAGTAAGTGGAGGGCAGTCTTGCCTGTTAAGTGTGAACGTTACGTGTTTGCATTTTTGTTCGTTAACTTTGATTCACCAGTCGGATAGCCATTTCTCTACTGCCACCAGGTGTTTAGCAAGTTGCGCCGTTGCTTGCTTGGCGCATCTCGAGCGGCCTAGGATCGCTGTGTCATCAGCAAAAGTGGATGTGGTTAGTTGCATGCTCGTTGGGATGTCCGCAGTATAGATAAGGTAGAGTGTTGGTCCGAGCACGCTGCCTTGAGGAAGGCCGGCTCTGATGATGTAATCATCGGACATGGCAGCATTACATCTTACTGAGAATTTCCTGTTGTAAAGGTATGATTTCAGAAGTTTGTGAGTGTTGGTTGGGAGCATTTCTGTTATTTTGTGCATTAAACCTTCTAACCATAATCTGTCAAAAGCTTGTGATACGTCCAGAAATATCGCAGTGCAGTACTCCCTTTATTCGAATGCATTTCGGATTTCAGAAGTTATGCGGTTGACTTGCTCGATGGTTCCATGTTTTTCTCGAAAACCGAATTGATGAGTCGGGATTTTGTTGTGTGTTCTGAGATATGGGGTAATATGTGCCAAGAAGCATTTTTCGAAGAGTTTTGATTTACACGTTAGTAAACAAATTGGTCTATATGATGAAGCAATTGTGCGGTCTTTGCCAGGTTTTGGTATCATTATGATGATCGAATTTTTCCATCTCTCTGGGAAGTGCCCATGTCTCGTTATTGCATTGAAGAGTTGGCAAATAGCTCGAACTACACAGAAAGGAAGTTCAATAATCATTTTTGGTGATATTAGGTCGCATCCTGGATATTTTTTTGGGTTGAGTTGTTCGTTTATGATTTTGAGTAACTCATGTGGCCTAAATACAATTGGTTCATACATAGATGTGTCGATATCTGATGGTGCTGGCAGTGAGATCCCGCTGTATTGGGCTGAAATACATTTTGAAGATGTTCTGCAAATCTGTCGGCTCTTTCTCCGTCGCTGCGCGCCCAGTTTTCTGTGGATGTCCTTATTGGCATTGTAGATTATAATGGTGCGCAGAGTGATGAGTGTGCTCTTCAAAGTGGGAACTTGGAGCTCATTGGGTATAATTGCTCTATGTAATATTTTTGGGATTTGTTGATATCAACTCAATATGCGAACTTACATATTTTTTGTACTTAAGCCAATTGGTTTTAATCGTTGTTAGTCTGAATGGTTTATCTACCGCAACTGGATGTAGATTTAGTTGAAGGAGTACAGGCGAGTGATCAGACGATAGATCTGATAAGGAGTTGGCGCTTATCAGGTTGCGTGGAATGTTTTTTTGTGACTGCAAAATCTATCAAGTCTGGCAGTTTTCTGGGATCTGTTGGCCAATATGTAGTTGTCCCAGGTGACACACAGTCTAGCTTGTTGCTTGCTTTTATTATTGCATTGTACAACTGCGTTCCCTTTGGAGTCACAAGTCGAGATCTCCAGTGCGTATGCTTGGAATTAAAGCCTCCTGCTACTATAAATTGTTCGCTCAGAGAGTTGAAATAGTCCATGAATTGGGATTCGGATATTGTAAACCGAGGAGGACAGTATACGGCGGCAAACTTTAAAGATCGGTGATCCATCTGTACATCTATAGATGTAGCTTGCATGTAGTTAGTGGCGAAGCTATTTGTAAGATGAGTTTCTGCTAGTAGCATTACATCGATATGGTTATTATTAAGGAATTGAGTTAACTCGAGTTTGCGCTGTGAGACGCCGTTGGCGTTCCACAGTGATATACGGAGTGGAGCCATTGATTACTAAGTCTGTTTTTGAGCAACAAGCACCTCAATCGGTGCTGGTTTCGCATAAGATATTCCACGAAATTCATCATACTTTGTTGAAGATTACATATCATTGTTTCAATTTTGTTCGTAGACTGTTCTCCTGGTTGATGAGCGGTACTTTTCAGACCCATTTTTAGAGCAGTTGCAAAGCTTTCGGGTTTGTCGGTGAACTCATTATTAGCTGAAGATTTAACGGCTGTAGGAGGAAGACATCATGCGTAGATTTCATAGGTGTGAGCGAGCAGTGGTCACTCTTTGGTGTGTGCGACTTTTCAGTTCCTTGTCGACTGAACAGCCCCTGTAGTTAGCCGTATGGTTACCTCCACAGTTTCCACACTTTTTGGTGTGTTTCCACACAGTTTCTTTATTTTTTGGGCATTTGTGGGAGTCATGAAGGTCTCCACATACTGGACGAAGCGTGCAATAAGACCTTGTGTGGCCATATTCCTGACAATTATTACACTGCACCGGCCTATTTCTTTTATGCGGCTCTTCTACGGTTATTCTGCGGTGTAGTAGGAACTGGAGAGTAAAAATTGGATGCACTTTTTTTTTCAGAGGCTTGGATTTGGTTTCGGGTTCAAGTTCTACCTTTCTTTCTATATTCAAAATGTTAATAACATTTTTTACATTAAAACCTTTCTCCTTCAGTGCGCCTGTACCTTCAGCTGGTGTTACTTCCGGTTCAATACCTTGAAGTACTACTTGCTGGCCTTTTCTGCTTTTTAATTGGTACGTGTAGAAGTTTTTATTATTGTCGTTTAAATACTTCGACAAAATGTTGTAGTTTACTTCCGTATTAGTCTGAACTTTTGTTTCGTGAATATTTCCCTTTGTTAATGGAATTATGTGGAAATTGTCTGGTCCGATTAGATTCAGTATCGAGTTTACGAGTGCATTATAACTTTTCTCTCGAATGTAAATCGGCGGCGGCTTAGGCTTTTTATTGGCCCCCACGATGTATTCAGGAGGTATATCATCGGATTTAGCTGCCAAAA